GAACCATATAAATAAATATTGACTTGTTTTCCACAACAGAAAGTAGGGATGCGCATTAAAACTATTCTTCTACATCTTGATTTTCATTTCTTTCTTATAAAGGTGATAAAATTATCAGAAAAGATTCGTTAATTCATCCATTAACATTTAAAATAAAATAGATAGTCTCTTGTGGTATAGTTACGGTCAATGTGTTTATAAGTATCGTGTTAGTCTTTCAATCAGAACACACTATCAAATTAAGCCACTGTATTATATCATAAAATTTCATCTCGAATGCACGTATATACCACATGATTGCCTTTCTTTGATTACTATAATTTCATGCCAGAAGCTCTTGTAAAAACGTTCAGTGTTTCAAAAGTAAAATGTTCGGTTAGCTGAGCATGCAAAACTTATCTATGAGTAAGGATGAAAATTGATTTTATTTAGATTTTTTTAATATTGAGCATTCTGTTAACAAAAATAAACCATAAAAATAAAGTATTTTTGATAAAGTATTTTTACATTACCCTGTATACATATATAGTCCTACTAGCATCAACATCTTCAAGTTGTTTTAGCCTTCGTTAATCTTAAAAGCATTTCACAATAAATAACTCATTTTCTACTTTTCAGGCTCTTCAGAAAGACAAGAAGGTCAGTATTTATCCTATATTCTAACGTCCAATGTGCCTAAAAAGGGCAAAGCATCGCTAACAGCAGGCTAAATGATTCTTAGCCTTTGTACATGAAATGAAATATGAAATAATTTGAAAATAATAGTTTTTGTTTCATTTATTTATATAGACGGTGTTCTGTACGTTCTATTAACGAGAAATATATGTGCTAACATACTTCTATCAAATCCATCGCTGGACTGGACCTCCATTTAGTCATTGTTGTTCTCGTTTATTGATCACTCTGACATAGTCATGCCAATAATTTTTAATATACTTTAACATATAGTGATGAAAAACTATTCGTTTTTTGTTGTTGTTGTGTTTTCTTTTGCCATGGAACATAACCAGTGTGATATATATTCTAGTTGTGTGTTCAGTCAATTAAATTAGAACATACACAATGAATATTGATATTACCGATAAGTCATTTGTTTCATTTACTTACTTATACTAGAACCTTCACAAATAAAAAATTCTATCTCTGATCCATGAGGTAAGACCATAAATCTGCTAGGATTTCCATTTGACATTTATATTGCTCATAAAATATAAGCTGATTACAGATAAGGCAAAACAACAAGAGAATCTACTTTGAACTCAAAGAAATACAACATAATATGTCAACCCGTTCAAACACTAAACAAAATATGTAATCAAACGATATGTGTTTCTTCTGTTTTGAGACTCTAGAAGTTTCTGCTATTATGAAGACCCTTGGTTGTTTATAAAGTATCTTAACGCATGGTAAGGAGGTTTTTCGCCATTTATTTCAATTTTTCTTAGAAACACTCGTAAGATTTTACGATAGATATATACATGTCTACTGTCTGTTTAAGAATTTACGAAAGTATCAGCATAACATTGCTTTAAAATGAAATTTGGTTTTCTTTGCACTCGTACAGCTAAAATAATATTTCAGAAGAATGGTTACGAGCATTACTGACACGTACAGCATATATTCGACTGATAATAAATAAGTTAATTTTTATGGCAGGGTATTAAGCGACTTGTTTAAAAAACTTTTAAATTTCTAAAATTTCTTTTAATTTTAATATTAACACTTTTTGAAAATGAACAGCTTTGTACCTTTTTGGTTAAATTTTTTAAAAACTTTTACCTGTCAATAATTGTTTTTTCCCGGGCTTGCAATGGAAATGCAAAAATTAAAACAAAATAAATTGTTTACTCTTTTTCCAATTTTCTTTTTTGGTTTCAAAATGAAGGGTGAAACTATTGCGTGTTTATAATAATTTTGGTAACATCCGCTACGATGAATGGTGTATTTGCTTGGTTTTGCAATTAACTTCATTTGAATTACTTGAACTGAATTAAGGCAAAATTTTTTTCAAAAATTAATATTTTTATAAATGAAAAAAATCAACAACAAGAAAAATTTCCTAATGGGTTTTCGTTTGAAGCAAAAAACAAAAAGAAGTTAACCAAATTCTTAAAAAAGGGCAAACTTGTACGAAGGTTTCAAATGTTATTTCCCGCGTTTTTCAAAATATAAATTATTTTAATTTGCCCTCCATTTAGGAATGGAGGGGTACTTTTAATTTTTCATCATTATAAAAAAATGAATAAATAAAATTCCCACCGCCCTGAAGATTTTTTCATTTAAAAAATTTTAACCCTTTTTTATCAATGCTGACTTCTTAAAAAGATTTAATTTTTATTTAACACCTTTGGGTTCCCTTTGGGCTTAATTACATTTAAATGAGGCTTTTTTGTTCTGGGTATGGGTCGAAAACAAAATAAAAATAGCCAGGTAGTTTCAATGTTTATCATAATTAACAAATTTCTTTGGAATTTTTTTTACAAAAATGCTAGGAACTTTATCAGATATCTAAGGAATTTAGATATGTTTTTAAAATAGAAATAAGTCTGGTTTTGTACATTTATCGATTTGATTGCTATCATTTAAATGGTCATGTCATCCTGTTTCAATTCTTGATAATCTGTTTTGTGTCAACATTAATCAACTTACTGATCGCTACCAGAAAGCGTTAATTACAATTAACATTGCATGTAATGCGCATATGCAAATGTGTGAAATGTCACTCAGTAAATCTTTTTTATAGCATCGAAAAATCAATTACAATAATCATTTGTTTCGAAAATTTGTTTTGGTTCGATGGGTTTCAGATTATGTAACTTATACATTGCATGATAAAATGGAGAATTCTTCCTAAAAGGAAAATATCAATATCAGTAAGACTTTGAGAAAACATTAATATATTTATATATACTTTAGGTAAACCAGGGCATTTCTCAGTTACAAATAAATTGACATCAATGGTGATTTTAATACTATTTTGTAAAATAATGTAAGACATCTTTAAAACAATCATATTGTCAGTTAACTTCAGGCATTTTGAACATCATCATTTCGATTTCGTTCGTTTTAGCTCATGTTTTTGTCTGACAGATCTCTGCTTTGTTGACATGTTTTTAGGTAAAGATACAACATTAACAATTATAGAGCTTTATGTTTCGTTTCTATCGTATAAGAAATAAACTTTACCGGATTGCATGCGGTGATTCGCAATAAGTTTGTCTTTAATCGAGATAATTCATGCCCCCTGACTTAAATCAGACAATCTTTATTACAAACAAATTTTCCTCTTGAAACTGAACTATTTTTCCTCGCGTGTGAGGGAGAGGTATTGATAAGACATACGAAACAATACATTCTCTAGACAGATAAACAAAACAATCAATATGTATGATAGCATGCGTATGTAACAATGATTTTTGATTGCCATATAATCAACTTTTTGACATTGTATGGGAACTATTACTAATTTGATATATAGGCAATTTGCCTAAAAGAATTGCATGAATTTATATTTGATTGTTTCCCTCATGCCCGCATAAGACGATTTATAATTATGTAGAGCGAAAGCAATAGGAAATTATATTCGATATAGTTCATCTGTAGTTTGAATTCTGAAACAATTTGGATTATTTTATATAAGGATAAAAAAGAAACATATTTTCAAATAATTCTATCTAACACGCAAATTTCTTGCAAAAAATGATACGAAAATACTACAAATAGAAATACAATAGTTGGTTAAAGCCAAAACCACTGCATTATCATCGGTGGCGGATTATACTGAATGAGAAACACCATTGTATAAACATTCGTCATTGTACAAATGTGATGTAAACTTACTTCAGAAGATTGTACAAGATTGCCTACATTCATAAACAATATTCTCGTTATCTTACATGAATATTTTAATGTAATATACAGTAAATGAGTGTTCATGCCATTTTAAAATAACAACACTACAACATTCCAACAGTTATATTCTATAATTTCGGAAATGTATACGCCTTAAGCATATTGGCTTCTAGAAACAACATATTGGTTCATTTAACACACCTGTCTTACAAATGAAAAACATTAATTTAATTAATATCAATAGAGACAATAATACAGTGATTGATTTAGTTCTACTTAGCATCCGTTCCTAGGTTAATTAGACTATATTCTTGCCATTCTTGTTTATTAGAAGATACTTCTTTCGTTTTACATACTTATTTATATTAAGATTACCTTTAACTCTACATATGTAATTATTAGAGATATGTTTCTTGTGTTCCATACTTAGACACACTGATCACAAAACACATACAAGAAAAGTATGATATTCACAACCATTCAGGCAACATTGAATATATTCTTTGCAAGGAAAAGACAAGTTTTCCAATTTTATAAGAATTATGATGTTTATATCAATGATCTTTATCGCATACAAAAGAAGTTTTCAGTTAATGAAATCATTTACTGGAATCTTTGCACGAGACAGCTATTAGTTCTTGGTAATTATATTGTATATGAATCTAATATCAAACCATATCATATTTTATTTTGACAAAATAATATGTTTTTAAGAATTAAAACATAACAACATATAACGACACAACAATATGAATATTTTGTTTTACACAAGTGCCATTAATCGTGATTAAAATTTAAATAAATATCAGAACAAACTTGTTGATATTGATTATATAACAAGTTTTTTTTATATAAAATGATGTCACATATTTTTACGCTTATAACTATTTACTTGGGTATATATATATATATTTCAACAAGAGGTTTTGTAATTTATTTTAATACAAGTTAAACAGATGTAACATATCAATTACATACATTTTAAATAATGTTAGAACATCATATCTGGTATAATTACTTATACAGTTTGGATGTTTCTTAACTTATTTTATTTATTGCCAATATTCAATAAATATACGTTAATAAAATTAACATGCTACAATACAATTATATAATTGTGTTAGACATATATTGTTTGAATTACTTACAGTTGAAAGCCCATTCTGCCTGCGGGCTATTGTCGACGCACAGCACAACTGTCCTTTCCGAATCCTCACAATTATTCTCCGCCATCCTTTACACACAGTTGACTTAAAAATCCAAATTATCTGTGAAATAGAAAGATGTATCTATTCAAAGGAGAGTTATTGTATTATTCCCTGAACAATAAGAAGCACCTATGAAAATATTCAATTTCAATAACGCCAGGAGATACAATATCTGAATAATATTAGAGATAGGAAAATAGCGTTCAGTGAGGAGAGACAGCTCCTTGGTAACGATATATCTCGGCACGCGCGCGTTATGTTTTCAAACTCATTATTGAAGATTCTCTTACTCAAAGCGCCACGTTTACGCGATTTACGCCTGGAATCGATGACTTATCAGATAATAAAAAATATAATGCAGAATTCACAGTTACCAGAATAACAGTAATGTATTCATCACTTGTTACTGAAACATTTCTTTTCTATTTTTAGAAACAGCCGAGTGAAGAATCGTTACCTGAACAGCCTTACCAAAACTATCGATCTGTTTCAAGCAGAGCTTTCTGGTGCTTTGTTTTCTTACTTTAGGGAAAACTTCTTCATTTGTTAACTTAAACTTGATTTCCAGTAAGAAAAAAAAGTCTACAAAATAGGCGACGAGAAGTGAAAAAATCGATAACATACGTGATTTCATTTGGTGAAAGCTGGGAGAATGTTCCACTAATGATTAATTTCCTAGACATTTAATATTGTCTAATGGATATCCAAACCTTGTCCATCCATATATAATTCGCCATAAAATGATACTCGTTAATCAAATATTTCTGAATGAAGACGAAAGTAAGACAAATGCAGACTGGATACAGTTTCATACAAATTCATATATCTACATCAGCATCTATGTTATATATAAACACTTTCTCCATGTGACAAATAGTCCGGGAAATAAACAGAAGAATAATCATAAGTTTATTGATAATGATGCATTCATGATAGAGGTAAACAAAAATAAATAGTATCCCAGTATCAAAAAACATCATACCTACGATTACTTGTTAACATTTTTATCAGAAAATATTTATACTTCCCTTTTACAATGACCTTGGTATTTGATTAAATGCGTATAAACTACATATAACCCTCGACTTTGTCCTACCACACTAGCATGTAAATCAATTATTTGATTTCCTTATAATAAGGGCATATATTCTAATAAGTTAAATGAAATGGTTTCTTTTTGCGATATTATAACAGTTTACACAATGATATACTTCTAGCCTATCGCAATAAATAACCCATGCAATTTGTATTATTTCTTGACCCACAAACATAAAAATCTTTTAAATATCCTTAAAAATACTCTAACGCATACGCGCTTAACACATTCATAAATATCAAATCCCACCACCACTTTTGATGTATCCAGAGTTTTAATACAAACTTTATCAATAAATTTATGTTAATAACTTTAAGTGTAACATAACTTTAAGCCAGGTATAAATTCATATCTATTTTGCAGGTAACCGCTTTTTATAAACATGTATTCTAAACAATCTCCAAATTAATCATTATATTAATAACATGATAATAACAAAAATATTTACTCACAAATGTAACCTTCAGAATCCTTTCCGTTATAAATTCACCTTCACCGCTCTATGTATATGTTTCATTTGACAACCTGACAATTTGCACGTAATTGTGAAAATGATCACATGTTATCATACATACCCTTTGAAGCTTTCGTGAATATTAATAGTTTCTCCTCAAAAATGTCTAGGGAATGGAATATTAGATTACATGATTACTGGTAAATGTTCGTTTAAAGTAGATTGAACAATCACTTTATAGTGAAATGTTTCTAAACTATTAAATCTTTAACTCCAGCGGATTGTTACTGTTCATTTTAATTTAACTCAAATCAAATAGACCCAATACGTTTGCAAAATGAGGTAACGCAGTAATATATATTAAATGAGGTACATATAAACGTTATTTCTTTTAAAGTTTTATGTTAACTCATATAAAATATAACCATTACGACGAGTTTGTTGTAATTAAGAATGCAACAACACTTAAGAGAAATTTTATATATGTATATAACTATTCTTCTAAAACAATTTCCAAACATACAAAAATATGTTAAAAATATTTACTGCAAATGTTTATTCGCATTATAAGTAATCATTAAAATATATGCATTCATTTCTTACTGAAAAATTTAGCTTCTATAAAGACTTTATTGAAAACAATTTTCTTATATTCTCCCTTAATTTACATTATATTTTAATTCGGTAATATCTTGATAAACTATGCTTTTTGAAACTTTAATATTGTTAAATCTTCATTTGAAAATTATATTTATTACATAAAACCATAAAAATTGAGTTACAGGACCTTAAACTTTCATCAGGTAACAGATAACTATTCGATCAGATAGTTTTTAAAAGTAAAACGAGACGTAGCTGAGTATTTTATTCCCTCCATCTGCACACCCACCCAAAATCACGTATTCATTCATGTTAATCAGACCTAGTGTTAGACCGTTAATTTTATTCCCAAAAGCCGCCTATCATGCATTAAAGCTCTATTCAAGTTTAAGTAATCCTGTAAATTATATCACTCAACAAAGTAAAAATAGATTGTCCCTGTTTGCAGTGTGCTTATAGTTTAATATCTTAATGTCGAAACAGTATTGAAGTATATTTGATAAAATAATGCTATCATTTTATACCGTTTTTCCAAAAGTTTTTTCTTTCTTTATTTTTTACTTTGGCCTGTTGGATAAATTGTTTTCGTCCGTAAATTAACATTGTATATTTTTGTCCGTAAATTTACATTGTATATCATCACTAATAGTGGTATTACGATAAATGCTCATTGATTTATATGAAATAAACAACACACACTGTTTACAATTTCAGTGTATTGTAAAAATCAATGTATAAGCAAAAACAATTAAGTTAACACGAGTGTGATTAAATCTGAAAATGTAAAATGTACAATCCTCTCATTTTTTCGACTATAGATTGAACAGCCAGAGTCAAACATAGTAAGACATTTCAATCTTTCTGTTCATTTATTCCAAAGTTACAAGTAACTATACAGCTAAAGAATCAATATTGTCTGTCCTGAATGGGAAAATCAAGACTGACAAAGTACTCTGATTAAAAAAGATCTCAGAAAAGTGCAATACCTTAAAATGTATTCAGTTATGTAACTAAGTTAAATGATAGACTAACAACAGTTAATCATAGCACATGAACAACATGTTTACGCACAAAAGAACAACAAAGAAATATAGAACAAAACACAAAAAGGCAGCAAAATATTGATATATTTTTAAGTATTCAGGTTTACTGATGAGGGTGTCTCATTGAAAATTCCATGATAACCGCCGTATGAACAAATATGTGGATGTTCGGAAATTCAAATTTCACCAGACTTATGTTTAATTCTACTTAAGCCGGTGCTAAGGGGGCATGGACGGTAGTTTGCAACTGACAGTACCGTCCATGTAAGGCTCAATTAAAAAGAGCCTGCAACATCTTTTAAAGAATCAAAAGAAATGGTTGCTTTATATAACATTTCTTCACTGGTTCTTTGATTTTGTATGGAAAAAATCAAATTGATTTGGTGGTTATATCATTTACACATTTCCGTTCAAATATAATCCTTCTAGCAGCAGAAGCCAAACATGATGTTTAGTGAAATTTCTTTGTAAGTCATGAATGACAGGTGGTATGTTTTTTGAGGTGAAAAGAGTCGTCTGCTTACATTTGATACATAATGATCATATTTATTATATTTTGCAAACAAGACAGTGGCTAGATAGTTCCTATCGTAGATTTGGGAAAGAACTGCGCGAAAATCGTCGTAATATTTAACTTTCTACCATACTTTTTAAGCTGAATTCACTGCGACAATATACCAATATGCAAATGTCACAACATAAACATTGTGAATGTACTCATTTCCCATGGTTTATTCATGATGAAATTCTTCTTTTTCAAAATATCTAAATTAGTAACTGTTAAAAGAAAACTTGTTTATTTCTACGCTCTCCTAATCAGTCAGAAATTACAAAATGTGTCGTTCTTATTAATATCTTAATAATATCTGGTTTTTGCTTTTGTATACTTTACATAACATTTCAATTAAATCTTTATTTATATACGCAAATTTGTATTACCACAAGAGGATCCACGTTTAAATTGTGATATTATTTTTAATTCGTTTAAAGATGCATACCTAGTTTATCAATAATATTGTCTGCAAATTTGTGCAAGTGGATTTTGATCGACATGCGTTTTCAAAATATGTCAAAACATTTTTGTAAGCCGCATAAAACGTTAAATCACCTTAATCGTATAGTCAACAGTCTTCAACGCAAATAATCAAAAGCTTTATCACAGTCACTCACTCAGAAGAATTAATCCTGGAATATCATTGTTTTAGCGTCATTCAAATTATTAAAGATTATATCATTTTTCCCTCTTAACAATAAGCCGTTTGTTAGTGACTAACAAAACTAGTTTTTTTTAATTTCATTTTTTGCCTTTTTTCAAAACTTCTATATGTAACATTAACATAATTTGCATTGTTAATATGGCAGATTTTATTAAAAGATGTTAAAATTAAAGGTAGGGGAATCCGGAAAAATATGTCACCAGTAAAATACGGACGAATTTTAAATCCCGTTGTTGTCATCTTCAGAAGAAATATTTTGAACTCCCCGCCCATCCCGCAAGTAATTTCTCTCCCTTTATCAGAATTCCGCACCATTTGACGATACATCCCTTGAAAAGAAGCATGCGCATGCAAGAAATATACACCACACTGTTTTCTCTTTGTTTGAGGCGAAAGTTTGAAACCCTTGCCTAAACATTGTTCATATAATTTTCTGGTACTTATGTCATGACTTTTGAAAACTTTACGTTATACTAAATATAATTCAGACAAATTGCCACTAAATTAGATGAAATTTGTAATTTTAAGATTTAAAATCCATAAGTGCTTTGATCAAACTGCCATTTAGATAATAGTTGATTTTTAAATCAAAAACAATAAATTTAGTTCATGCTTTCCAGTGTTTAATATAATATATCAGATGATTATATTCTGATCAACCACTAATGAAATTTATAAAATATAAATTTGTCACTGTAGCCGGACTATATCTGAATGCGGATGAAAAGAATATCATAACTAAAAATGGAATAACTGGCAGAAATAAATGCCGTCATACGTAAATTTGCTTCTTTAGGAAAAGAAAGTTTATGTCCATGTCATCATCATACTTCATGTT